GAACGAATATCCTTGAAAAAAAAAAAGGTTAGTTCCCCACAAAATCCACAAAAAATGGCAAGAAGATATCAGCCACGTAGATGACACGGTAAATTGAAAACCTAAGAAGAGATCCGAAAGCCAACATCCCAGTGCAATGGAGACAAAGCTAAGGCTGAAGATACTGCTAAGCATATTTGGGCTTGTTCCAATAAAAATCACCTCCTCGGAGGTGATAGAAATGATAGCAAAAAGAGAAACGAACAGTTCAATAATATTTAAGTATTCTTTCTCAGAATGATTTATTGAAAAGCTTGGGAGCATAGGTACTTTTATTTATTTGTTCCTTCTTCCACTTTATTCCTATTTATTATTTATTAGACTTCTTTTGACAAATGATTAGAAGAATATTAGTCTATAATTAGATATCCAATTTGAGTCATGGACTACTTTTTCAATTTAAAAAGCAAATAGTTGAAGGCTAAAAGAATAATTGTTGTTGTTGTTTGTTTTCACCTTTTCGAGCCCATACTCGACACTGAAGCCTTAAAGGCTTTTTGTATCTCATTGTATGGACTCTACTCCTTCCCATTCATACTTGCAGATTAGATGATTGGCGGCAGCGCGGGCGATCTACCCGACCCGTACGCATCAAAATATTCTGCCACCCAATCTAGCCATAGCCCGGAAACCTGACCAATCAAATTCGATTTGGCTATTTTGGGTGGTATAATGTTACTATATGCGCTGCATCAGAGGTCAGAATGGCGGATGATGGCGCTATTTAAAGATTTAGAATGTTATTGCGTGGTCTAGATTCAGGATTCAGGGTCAGAATGTTACAGGCATTAGATAGAGCATTAGTATTAAATTTAACTAACAATGTTTGATGTTAAAAAACTTATAACTGTCTTTTGTACGTACGTCTTATTACAATTTAGAAATTTAGATTTTATTTGTGTTCCCTATGGATTTTTTTCATGAATATATTGATTAAATTGTTAGCTTTTTGATTGAAACGGAGGAATAAAGAAATATATCCATTTTGAATATAGGGGTTAATGAATTTAGATTTTGCAAAATCTGAATACCCAATAATTAAAAATTTTAGTTTTAAATTTTTCAACTACACGTTTTTGTATGATTTCCTTCCAGCTGTATTTAAAAAAGTTTCCCATGCATTTTCGTTTTAATTAAACTTTGGGCAGTAGTGCCAAATTGTGTATGATTATTCTTCATCAAATTGATAAAGTGAGACAAAAAAAACTTCCCTAGTGTTTTTTTCTTATTGAAGGTCGCCTAATAGTTGGCGATTTTTAAAGGTCGCCTAATAGTTGGCGATTTTCAATATTATCATCCGATATTAAACTATGTAGGTAGTGAAAATTTCAGAATCTTCCGACTGGACATTCTCTCCAAAAACTAGCTGAGCCATTAAATACCTTGATTCGACATTATAGATTGGAGTATCCGAAGATGCTTTTTTAAAATAATGTCGTTTTCGAATATCAAGTTTGCACGATAAGTGTTTTCACTCATATTCGAATAAACAAACGTTGTGGGTAGTTTTAGTGTTTTCACTCACATTCGAATAAACAAACGTTGTGGGTAGTTTTATCGCATCCATCTCCATCACAATTAAATATTAAAATGTCTTCGCATAAATTTCAATAGAGCAATGAGCGGGAAATAAACAAAACATGCGACACTTCTAACGGACAAGTGCAACAGGAAGTCCCGACATTCTGACCCCTGATCTAACTCATGTAGTAACATTATGCCGCTCAAAATAGCCACATCGAATTTGATTGGTCAGATTTCCGGGATATGGCTAGATTGGGCGGCAGAATGTTTTGATGCGACCCGTACTACTGCGGCCACCCATCCAATCCCCATCCCGACACCAGGTTGCTTGGCTTTGAGTAGGGCGTCCTGTCGTCCTTTATCAAAGCGCCAACGTGCCGGAAAAAAAGAATAATTAAGTCCTGAAAGTAGAGCAATGCATGAGTCGAAAAAAAAAAAAAAAAAACGCATTTATATTACAAAAAAAAATCTTGATAGCTATTTATTCGTTACATTAATTGATACTTTTTCATACTTTTGTGTAGTTCATAAAAAAGAAAAGGAAAGTAAGTATTTGAGAAATTTAAACAATTTGAAAGTATGGCTAAGGCAAAATTAAATAGAAAAATAACAGCAGTGTCAAAAAGGCGAAGAATATAATTCGAGTAGGCTTAAAAATTATTGTGCCGGGAAAGCTTATGTTCTAGCATAGCTTCCGAATATAGTGACTGGGCAGATAGCTCAGGGTCGATCTGAAGATTTATATAGAAAACCATGAACAAATTAGAGACAAGCTGAAATTTGAATTTCTCAAGTTCAGGCAGATCCAGATGTAGCCCTCCGATGGATCCTTAAAAAAAAAATTGTAACTGTTTATCAGATGGTTATGGATATTGTGAAAAGGGCTAAAGTGTACCTTGGCATGTAGACAGTGTATTGGTGTTTTCGTGAGACAGTTGAGGATATACAGACGGATCACATCTCTAAACATGCAGATAAGTTATATTGGATAAGAAGTAATTGAAAACGGAAATTCCACGAATATTTAAAATAATTATTTTGAAATATTTATTACGCACTTATAATAACTATTAGCTCTATTAACTCATATAAACTAATTTATGAAATTGAAAATATAGTATCCACTTGTACTCCACTGGTATGCTTTTTATTTCTAATTTATTGACTTAAGAATGTTTTAAATGTATTCACCAAAATATCCCTATGGATTGTCAGATATATTTAACATATTCAATGACACCCGCGGCATTAGCCACTTTGATTCTCCAAGTACCCTGACGCACCCTGTGAATGCAATTTCACCACAACAGGATTCTAGTCGAGTTAATGTCAAATGCTGGAATTGTCAGAGAAATGGTCAGTTAAATCGAAATTGTCCAGAAACTCGGAAAACACATTGCTATCAATGTGGGGACCCCGGCGTGACAGTCAAGAATTGCAACAAGTGTTCGGGAAGCGAGCCCCGGAGGAATTGTGAGGTCGTGCCTTATCCTCCAGTAATTTTGATACGACCAACTCTCAAGATTTTTCCAAAGGAATTCTAGGCTGGGTAAATTATTTAACATGCTCATGGAGACCAACTTCCTTACCTGGAAGTTCAAATTAAGGGATTTTCCTTGCTTCGGTTATTAGACTCTGGTGCTAATAGAACTCTTGTCGGATTACCTGGCTACGAAGTTTTTTCAAGCCTTGGATTCAAACTCATTAAACAACATAATCCGTGTACTATGGCTATTGGCCAAGTATGTGATACTATTAGTTATTTTCAGATACCCATGACATTAATAATTGACAAAACAAAAATTATTGATGTTTTAGTACTTCCCGAGCTTTCCCATAAACTAATTTTGGGAATAGATTTTTGGAAACCTACGGCAATTATCCCCGACTTAGGACAAAGTGTTTGGCATTTTTCTGATACCGTTAAACTGGTTGAATTTGCAGTATTCAGACTATCCCTTACTTAACCCCTTCCGAAAAATCTACCTTGGATGATTAAGTGAATGACAAACTTTCTCAAAGAGGTTCTGGGTTAGGTTATTATAGGTTGCAGAACACGAAGTCATCTTAGAATCTGGTACAAGGCCAATCAAACAAAGGTATTATCCAGTTTCACCTCGTAAACAGAAAATCATCGACGATGAAGTTGGAGGGATGTTACGGCTTGGCGTAATTGAAAGATCCAACAGTTCCTGGTCTAGCCCTGTGTGCCTGGTGGAATGGAAATTCTCGATTTTGTATCGATTTTCGCAATCTGCAAACCAATTCCCTACATTTCGACTATCTTGAACAATTTACGCAATACCCCAGCTCGATTGATATTAAATCAGCTTTCTGCCAAGTTCCTCTAGCCAAAAACTCTCGCGAATACACTGCTTTTACCGTCCCCAAAAGAGGTTTGTTCCAGTTTATAGGAGGATGCCTTTTGGTTTATCTAACGCTCCTGCTACTTGGCAACGTATAGTTGACACTATTTTAGGTCCTGAGTTTGAACCAAATGTCATGGTATATCTGGATGATATTGTCATCTTATCCAACTCCTTTTCCGATCATCCTAAACTCTTAGGGATAGTTGTGTTATAGATTCATAACCTTGTCCATAACACCACTAGTTGTGTTATGAATTCATAATCTAGTCCATAACACCACTAGTTGTGTTATGAGTCTCATGACATAACTCAAATACTAGAAAAATGTTTATGTGAAAACGTCATAACCAAACGCTTGTAGATAAATAAGTATTAAATGGAACACGGTATATTTTATAACCTGAATGAACTTTTTTAAAAAATCGTCAACAAAAACCAACTTATTTCATTCATGTGAGATCCTACAAGCTAAATCTTTCGCAGGTTTTAAGGGCATATTTACATTTACTTTATGGTCCTATGAAAATCTGATAACACTGCACAGGGTGTTCGGAATATTGTAAACCAAACCAGATATTTCAAACAATCATAGCTCATTGCTTTTTTGATGTCCACAATAGTTACGCGTCAATTGATTTTTATGTAATTATTATTTCCACAATTTTTTTAATTGACGTACATATGCCTATTCTGTATTTTAAGGAAGAAATTAGAAAGTTCTATTTTTCAAAAAAAAAATAGCTATGGCTTTGTGTACATTATTGCGAACACCCTGTAGAATTTTATCAGATTTTCATGGAGCCATGAAGTAAAATGTAAGTATGCACTAAGAACCTGCAAAATATTCAGTTAATAGGATCTCAAATGATTAAAATAATTATGTTGGTTTTTGTTGACGTTGCTTAGAACCATCCATTAATGAACTAAAATATAGAGTGTTCCATTTGAAATAATAAAGTTCTGTCGCATATCCCATTCACGGAGCACCCTGTATATTCAAAAATATTTTTAACTAATGCCCCTTTAAAATATGAAATAACTTTGTAATTCAATTATTTTTTTCTTGCAGCATCCAGTAAGGAGATATCGTCCGATATCGCACTAAGTGGACACCCTGTATATTACATATTTATGCATCACATGGGATAAAATAACATCAAGATTTTGTTTTTAACGCTAAAAAGTGTTTTTTTTTTTTGTAGGTAGGTACGGGTTAAATCTGCCAGCATCCAAATATTGGAATGAATTATTAAATTCTTGTATAAGACATAGGATTTGTGTCGTTCAGAAGGTTACTTTTGCCTTTGTAATATAATAACAATAACGGCAGGGGCGCCCGCAGAAAAATATATAGGGGGGGGTCAGAATCAATTGAATAAATTTTTTATGGGTAAAAAAGGTCACTTCAGTCTAAAAAAAATCATCATAAATAAATATTTATTTAAAAAAACTTAAAACATTCTTTCTGAGTATCTAAAAAATCACCAATTCGAACTTAGGTATACATCAGGGTGACAATTTCAAAAGCAGCAATCGGCAATATCTCTTAGATAAAAAATACTATCAGGAAGATCTCAAATAGGTACGTATTGGAGTATTGGAGGGGGAACCAAAAAAGCACTTTTTGAGCCTCACCCCCGGATTGTATTTAAGAATAGTCATTGTCATTCGGGGGTTGGGGGTTAGGCAATAAACACATTTGGTTTCCTCTGTGCATTTGAGACTTTTATGACAGAATCCTTAGTAGTAAGAGATAGTCAAAATTAATAGTTTTCAAAAGTGCTCACTTTTAAACATTGATATCTTAAAAACTAATCGTACGATTTAGATTTTGCTATAAGACTGTAGAAGGAAATCAACGAGCTATCCAACGATGTGCAGCACAAGGTAGGTTCGTATTGAAAAAAAAGTAATAAGTTAGGCGGGGTGCCTCATTTTAGTTCCTCGTCCAATCCCTCAATTTCCCTGATACGTATTCGAGATCTTGATAGAATTTTTATTTACAATCATACATGTAAAGTTGGCTTTTCTGACTTTTAAAAAGTTTGAAAATGTAATTTTTTTGACTTAAATTTGACAATAGGGTGGAACGGGTAAGTCATTGAGACGCACACTTTTCATAAAAAAACAATTGAAAATCACTTCCGGTTACTTTGGAAATGGACCCAAGTCAAGAAATTTTTATGGAACCCTGTATATTTTTTTTTACACAGTTGGATAGAGCTTAAAATTCCTTTTTCAATGACATATGATAAGTGGAATTTGTTTTTAAGATGGCGGCGTGAGAAGACACTTTCTTAAATTCAATATGGCGGCATTCTGACCTAACCTTTGAATACCTAACCGATAAGTGAATATGCATTTTGGTAGACATTTTTCGGTAGGCCATTGGGCACACTTTAATTCTAGGATTTAATAAGTACCTCTTCCTATTCAAAATTTTTAGACAATTTGAAACTAAAATTTGCATTTCAAAGAAATTTTGAAATGACCTTGTTTTTGAGCAAAATCATTTTTTTTTTTCAAATTCGGTCTAAAGCCATTCCAAATCTAAAAATTAGGGATTGTTGAAAGTGTTTGTTTGACAGAAACATTATCGGTTACGCCCAATGAAATATAGCCAAAAACTGGAATGCGCACATATTGCCATATCTGCCAAAAAAATGAAGCCATGAAAGACAGATGCCACAAAGAGGAATGTTGTTTTTTTCTGTTGCTCGCTGACCTATGACGTTTTGGAAAGTTTTGTCATATTTACCTTCACAGGTTTCATCAATTGGAATACGTGTTGGAAGCAATTTTCGCCATTTAACATAATGAGTGCGACAAAAACAGGTATCCCCTCCGCAGCAGCGGCACTAGGCTTCACGTTCATCAATATGTGTGCGCATTCCAGTTTTTGGTTATAGTTCATTGGTTACGCCAGAATGCCGCCATATTGAATTTAAGGAAAATACCTTCTTACGCCGCCATCTTGGAAACAAATGCAAGTTGTGTTGTGATATGTCATTGGAAAGGGAATTTTAAGCTCTATCCAACTGTGCAAAAAAAATATACAGGGTTTCATAAAAATTTCTTGTCTGGTCCATTTCCGGAGTAACCGGAAGTGATATTTAATTGTTTTTTTACGAAAAAAATGTGCGTCTCAATGACTTACCCGTTCCACCCAATTTTCAAATTCTTAACTTTGAAGACAACTGAATGACGCCTTGTACAACGATTTCGTTGTCACCCGATATAATGCGGTGGCATTGGTGGCTAGGGTACGTTCGGCTCCGTTTTCCTATTCCGATAAACATTCACGTTTTCTATTTTAATAAAAACAAAGTCGCAAAGTCGCAGTCGGTCCGCAATCATGGTTCAACTAATATCAGAAATTTTAATATTTTTTATTCAAGGAAAATAATTAAAATTTAAGAGATTTCCAGGGGGGGTCGAGTGACCCCCCCTGACCCTCCCTGTGGGCGCCCTTGAATAACGGGTCTCTAAAACAAACAAAAACTAAATCAAAGATTGCTTTGATTACGAAAACGAATCTCGCATTATTGTTTCTTTATGGGTCAGGATTTTTGACATGACATTTTGAAATTAGATACAAAATTCAATGACAAAATTAAAGAAAAATATTGCTAAGACATACGTTTAAAAATACATTGCCATCTTTGATTCACTTTTTTTTTAAACCCGTTATTAGATACTGGTTGTGATACAAATTTGGAGGGCATTCTATTGAAAAAAATGCATTTATACAATTTTAAAAAATCATACTGTATATTTCAAATAACCATTTTAAAGTTTAAGAAACAAAGCTTAATAATTTTAATATTTTATCATAAATAATTAAACTTGCCGATATGTAGGTAAATAATATTTATTTATGATTTGGAATAATTCCTAGCCAATTAAATAATTATATCATTTAAAACAATATCTTCATGAAAAGAAATTCATTTAGTTCGATAAACTTTGACATTGACTTTATAATTTGTAACTATAAATACGAGAGACCGTTTAAAATTGGCTTATATTAATTTTCAGTGACCATAAGAAAGTGAACCTTGGTGAAAAATCAACGATGAAGTTTTTCATTATTGCTACTGCCATCTTTGTAGCTGCTTTGGTAAGGACTGTCATATTCGATCTAATTTACCTATTTTTTGCATAAAGACAATATTTTTTTAAAAAAAATCCTTTCATGCACGTTTGAATGTATTGTTTCCATCAGGGCGGGATTGGCTACAGACGACTACTTTTATCATCAAAAATTAATTGAAAAATATTCTGTTCGTAGATGCATGCGTCTTCAATTTTTTTAAATGTAGTGATTTTCAGAAAAAAAAAAGGGTACGTACCTAACTGAACCTGAATTATTGATTTTTCCAATTTTTGAGGTGCGACGAAAAAAACAAATATTTCAATTTGTGTACCACTAACATATTTATTTGAATCTGTACTTGCCGTACCAGTTTGACGCACGAAGAGTTATTCAGGTAAACCACTGGTTCCATCAGAATGAAATAGTAATTTTTTTAGCTTGGTAATTTTGGTTCTAATTTCCTCCTTTATTTGTTTTCATATGCTTCAGCTGAACTAACTTCTCGTGCGTCAAACTATACCCAGTTTATTCAGAATTCAAATAAAATAGTTATTTTTACATGGGTATGGGTACCCACAAAATCCAAACAATCACTGTTTTTTTATTAACTTTGAGCGGTAGGTATACGTACACAGAATCTATAGCTTTTTCCACCTATATGAGTGGTCTATCAACTTATTGAATGGTAATAAAAAATAGATTTGGTTCTGTCTTCTACCTCCGAACAGCATGATTCAATTACTTAAAAGAATAACATAAACCAATACTCTCGAGAAAAAAGATTGAATTTTGTTTCTTAATAATCTTTACTATTTTAGGCCGCTGACGACCATAAAGAAATCCATCGAAAATGCCAAGACGACCCAGCCTCCCATATAGATAACATGGTATCTGATCCAAGCAGAATTGAAAACCTCCCAGCCAACTATGGTAAGCACATTCTCTGCATGTGCAAAGGCTTGCACTTGTTGACAGAGGATGGCAAAGCCAATAGACAAGAAATCCAATCTCGCGTTGAACATGCGATGCCACAAGATGCCACTAAAGTTGCCGCTGTTGTTGCCGAGTGCAGTGAAAACAGAGCTAATGGTGAAGATACTGCTATGCATATCTGGGCTTGTTTACATAAACATCAAGTCATGCAAGGTCATGGACATAGTAGCGAAGAAAGCAGCGAGAAGGATAGCAGTGAACATCATCATCATCATCACTAATTCAATAATAAGTGATTATACCTTTGTGTAATGTTTTATAAATAAATGATTTGATTGATTTTTCTTAACCTGGTGAGCCAAACAAAACCTGCTAGTTACGTGGTTGCTAGGTGTGGCTAGCTACGAAAGTGAAACTTTCGCGCCCTCTTCCGTAGAATAAACTCTTTTAAAAAGCTTATGAAACCATAAAATCACAAAATATGCGTAATGTACATGAAAATAAGAACTAAATACCTATTTATTCACTAAAATGGGAATTGAAAATACCATTTGAACATCCTGGAAAACTAATGGATGGCATAGAATTTGAACGACTATTTAGAGTATGAGTCAGACAAAGTATTTTCTTCCTGAACATTCGTATCCGGCCATTTAAAAAATTGGGATTTCCTTTTAATTTTGTTTTGGAAATTTTAATTTTCTTGACATGGAAATCAACAATATTTCCTTTATCTACCGCCGAGGACTTCTAGCCCCCATGTTTCTTTAAATCTCAAGTGCAGAGTTCCTGAAATCATCGTGGACGAGTCGCCAGTGTACAGTCTCTCTTCCTAGAGTTTCAAAACTTTCGCAATATTCCTCGTAACCTTGTTAGTCTTTCCTATTACTTGATATACACACCTGCCCTTATCATAACGATATAAGAGCTTGCGTATTCTTGGGCCTGGCCTCAATGTAATCCTTTAATGACTACATACCGAAGTTTTGATTCTGCGTCGGTGGTAACCATAAAACTTCTTCTGTTGGTGGTTTTTGTATCAGGTACCTTGAATAAGGCAACATCACATCTGAATTCAAATATAAATAACAAATTTTCATGAAAACGGTAGTAGGAAAAATCTAATATATCACATGATGCGAAAGCATTTTCATGTGTTCCTAGGCCATTCAAAAATAGCCTCGACGTTATAAATTCGTAATTTTTTTTCGGTCACAATTAGTAAATCAATTTTAGGAAACACTTGGAGTTGTAGATGAAAAACTAGGTTGTTCTACTACATTTTAATTTTCGTCTAGTTCTGATTGACATCTGAAATAATTTCAAAGTTCAATTCTGCGAATTAAAAATTACTCTGTTATGTTAGGTGATAATTATTTGCGGTATAATAAGATTGATTTTAGATAATTGGTGGAAACGATAAGTAAACTTTTGTTGAACTCAAATAGTGACTTTGATAAGAAGTGGTTTTGACATCGAAAAACAAGCCCACAGAGTAATTTTTCTAGAATATTCCAGTGTGTTCTCTTCGAAAATCAGACAAAGTCCGGAAATTCTGACTTCAAGAAATAAACATACAGAAAGAGGAAGCCCAAAGATGAGAAGAAGAGGACCGATCAGCACGCAGCACTTCGACAACAAGTAGATCGGCTACAGAAAGAAAGACAAGAAAAGCAAGTCCAAAGACAGAAACAAGGGCAAAGCAGCCAGGAAACAAGAAGAGCGGGACTGCCTTATATCAATTTTACCAAAGCCACAAAAATTGGAGGACGGAAGAAGGAAAAAAAAAGACAAGAAGAAGCCTCCCAACAGGAAGGTAGGCAAGAAGAAAAGCCCAAAAACATGAAGGACAAGACCGGCTTGACGAAAATTTAAAATTTCAGCGTAGCAAACTAGATTCGAAAATCCTGGAACTTCTCGTCAAGAAATTGATAGTTTACACAATAGAATAGATAAGATGTACTGTAACCGGCCTTGAAGTTGAACCACCATCATACAGGGTGTCCTCAGATAAACTGACACATTTTGCAGGTAGGGTAAACTGGTCCATAGTGGGACGCGGTCCATAGTGGGAATTTCACTCTCCTGGCCATTTTTTCGTCGCGGTAGAGCTATGTTTCAGTGTGTGTGCTATCATAACAGTGCCGCCTCTGAATATCTTATTGTTTTTTCAATTGGTACAGTGCGTTTCGATGTATTGAAAATTCAGGTAAGTGATTAACTGAAAATTTTTATTTCCATGTTCAGTTTTTTTCGAATATTCCGCCGAAATGTATCCTTTTTAACAAGAATTTGGTATGGATATCTAAAACATACATAACCTCAATATTGTATAATTCTGTTTATACATAGCTCTACCACTTTGATAAAATTTTTGGTCATTTGTATTTTGATGCACAGTGGTCCATAGTGGGAAAAAATAAGCGGTCTGTACTGGGATGTGAGAAAATAATGCGGTCCATGCCGAAATATGCAAAAACATGCTAAAAATTCTCATTCTTTGCAGAATTGAATATGCCGAGACATCCAAGATCCCAACTGTCAGCACTTTTTGAAAAAAGCAGAGAGGATCATGAAGTATATGCAAGGTCTATGCATTCTGCAGTGAAAGATGTTGTAGAAAACCAAATGATATTGATGAGTGCATCCAAAAAGCATGGTGTAAGCAAGTCAGCTCTACAGCGGAAAGTGAAAAAGTTTAAATTAGCTAATGAAGAACATGAAGAAAATACAAATGATTTTGAATTCGGACGAAGCCATGGTTTCAAACTCATATTTACCAGTGCCGAGGAGCAGCTATTAAGCGAGTATATAATTGAAGCTTGTGAAATGTGCTACGGCTTAACATTATTGAATACTCGTGAATTAGCTTACAAGTATGCCATTACTAATAATAAAACGGTGCCTCGAGCTTGGCAAGAGAAGAAACGAGCTGGAGTCGAATGGATGAATAATTTTAGGAAACGACACCCTATGTTATCGCTTCGAAAACCAGAAGCAACTAGCCTTGGTAGGGCGACCAGCTTCAACAAGCATGATGTGGCTACATTTTTCAACAACTTGAAAAATGTGATAACGAAACATAATATCCAGTCGAACCAAATATACAATTGTGATGAGACTGGTGTCACTAATGTGCATAAACCTGGGAAGGTACTTGCTAACATTAAACAAAAACAAATTGGAAAAGTGACAAGTGCTGAACGAGGCACATTAATAACAATGTGCACCGCAATATGCGCTAATGGGACTTATGTGCCTCCATTCTTTGTATTCCCAAGGAAAATATTTAAGCCTTTCATGCTTAGTGGAGCTCCTCTAGGATCAGGCGGCTCAGCTTATCCCTCTGGTTGGATGACAGGAGACAATTTTTTGAAGTATATAGAGCACTTTATCAAACACGTGCGATACAGTAAAGAATTCCAAGTTCTATTAATTCTTGACAACCATGAGAGCCGTTACGATGTTCGTGTGCTGAATATGTGTAAAGATAATGGGATTATTTTATTAACATTGCCGCCCCACTGCAGCCATAAATTACAACCGCTGGACGTGAGCTGCTTCTTTCCATTTAAAAGCTATTATAATCAAGGAGTTGACGACTGGATGCTAAATCATCCTGCCGTACCTATGACCATTTATGATGTTTGTAGTGTTGTTGGTACTGCCTACCCTAAAGCATTTACTCCTGTCAACATTCTCAACGGATTTAAAAAAAACAGGCATAGCACCCCTGAATTCCCAAATTTTTTCAGATAGTGATTTTATGTCATCTTATGTTACTGATAGGCCCGAAGACAATGAAAATGGAAATGGTGACGAAAATAATGCTAACGAAGGTGTTCAGGATATGAAAGATGTTCAGGATGTAGAAGATGTTCAGGATGTAGAAAATAATCAGGATGTAGAAGAACCACGACATGTCAGCCCAATCCCTGGCCCATCCAATATAATAACCCCTCAGCAAATCAGGCCACATGCCAAAGCTGCTCCTAGGAAAAACCTTAAGAGAAGCAGAAAGAAGCTACAGTCATCAATAATAACAGATACCCCCGTGAAAGATGCCATAGAGGAACAACATAAAGAAAGATTGGCTAAAAAAGCACTTTCAGAAGAGAAAAAGCAGAAGGCTAAAAAAGTTAAACGTCAAGTTTTTAATGACGACATTAGTTCGAACAGTGATGTTAGTGAAGAGATTTGCAACGATTCTAGCGATTTAGAAAGCTTCACATCAGAATATCAAGATTTGTCTATTCAAGAGCAGGACTATGTTATAGTAAGATACATGACAAAAAAAACTGTTAAACATTATGTTGGTCAGGTTATTAAGATAAGTGGAGATGAATATAACATCTCCTTTATGAAGAGAATTGTGGCCGGCAAATTTGTTTTCCCTGACAAATCCGATGAAGATACCTTAGTAGCAGAAGATATTTTACTAAAGCTGCCCCCTCCCTCCATTAGTGCAAGTACAGCTAGGGCTGCTCGCCAGTTTATGTTCCCTGTGATTTTTTTCCAATTTAAAATTGACTAGAAGTGTTTTTTATTAGAAATCCCACTATGGACCACTATGATTCCCACAATGAACCATGTAGTGGTTCATAGTGGGACTAGTGGTCCATAGTGGGACTTGTTGAATAACATTTATTATAAATAAAGGATTACTTGAAACTATTATTAGTTTGCTTCCTTACATCCATACCTATGTATAGGTACGCTTGTCATAATTTATAAACGCTCAATAAAGGTGCTATAAATTTTTGAAAAAAACCGTCCCACTATGGACCAGTTTACCCTACATATCTCAAAAACGAGGACAGATAACGAAATGTGGTTTGTTCTGGTAAAGTAAGAATTAAAACCAGATGTCAAATTTTTGACATAACGCTTCCTAGACAAATAACTACCTAATTAATGATTGTCATTGTCATTAATTATTGTCATTTCAAACCATGAATTCATTTTAATAGATCTTGACATTTTTTCAGGTTTTAATATAATTTTTTTTCAATTTTTCAATTTCAAAAATGTCCCAATAAAACCTATTGAGATTTTTGAGTTTTTTTTTTTTTTTGTATTATATAAAGCAAAATGAGCTCTAACCAATCAATGAAAAAAAAAAGATGGCGTTCCCATTTAAAAAAAAGATCAATAACGTCATATCTTGAAGAGGAATTTTTTTTTTCCTATATCTCTCCGTAACTTTTCCCTACACGTCTTCTTATACCTATTTCCAAAATTTCATCAAATTCCATCGAGCCGTTTTCTCAGAAAAATGCCAACACACACACACACATACATACATACATACATACATACATACATACACACAGACGGAAATGTGCCACCTTGCCAAAAAGTCTTAAAATGATCCAAAACGTCAAGATTTAATGAAATTTTGACATGTTCAAAATCGGGCTAT